GTCAGGCCAGAGTCAGCCTCCTCCTCCTCAACAGACGGGTCAAAGTCAGCCAACCCCTGCATATCCATATGCTGGCCATAATCAGCAACCTCCGTATCTTATGTATCCGATGCCTATGCAGCCCACGCCATACATGCAGCAGCCGCCTATGCCATACATGCAGCAGCCTCTCATGCCTTACATGCAGGAGCCGCCTTATCAAGTGCCAGTATATCGACTCGAGATGGCTGCTCCTTGTCCTGAATTTCCAGCTGGGGGGTTTGCTGAAATGCTTGCGGGTGTTGGATCTGATGTGGACTTGTCGAGGATGTTGGCATCAAATGTAGGACCTCAAGGATAAGAAGGATCTGTGCCACGTTCAGGAGCAGATTCGGTTCCGTTGTTTATTTGGTTCGCTTTCTTGTCGGTTAAATATGACATTTTAATCGTTCTATCTTTTTTGTTTTTTTATGTTATGTTTGTAATGTCGGATTTAGTAGTTGTTATGACGGATGAGTTTTTGTATATTAAGTGGAACGTTAGATGTACAATATTTGTGTATTTTGGCACTATTTTTATTGTTAATTATTTTCATTAATGTATGTACAATATTTGTGTATTTTGGCACTATTTTTATTGTTAATTATTTTCATTAATGTATGTACAATATTTGTGTATTTTGGCACTATTTTTCTTGTTAATTATTTTCATTAATGTTTATTTTGGCCTTGGAATTTAGTAATATAATTATATAAATTTTTTCTGTTACAATGAATTGAAGACGAATGCAGTTTGTTGGTTTTTTTTATTATTATTAACAAAGGTGGTGTCGGTTAAGACCGTTATTAGTTTGCATATTTTATTTATTTAATTGTTATTTGACGTCGGTTTTTGGGATATTAAATTGATTTAATATTATTTCAGTGTCGTTTAAAAGCGACAGTAGGATGAATATTTTACAATTAAATTGCTAATGAACGTCGCCTTAAAGCGACATAACCTGTACGTATGCGTCGCTTTAAACCGACGTAAATTTTAGTGTCGCTTTAAAGCGACGCTGTTTAGTGTCGGTTTAAGCCACGAAACCGACGCTAAAGCCCTTTCGTGACGCTAGCAATAGTGTCGCTTTGAAAATGCGACATTACATTGTTTTATGTCGGATTTTTGCCAAAATTCCAACAGAAATCGGATTTCTCGTCGGTTTTGGCTCCGACGGTGATAGCATATATTGGAGTAGTGAACCAATGGAAGATTTCTTTCCAACTTGAAGGCTAATCACAATGCGATAAGTGGGGGCACCACATTAAGTGCATTCAATCCCACATTGGATACTTATTCTACCTTCCTTGCAGATTGCTTTGCCAACCCTTCCGAAGGTCTTTACACCAACTTAACTTTACTTGAAGTCCATTGATTTCATGCATTAACAATTTGTATATTAATTTTTAGTAAGTAGTATTTTTATTAGTTATTTGTTTGACTTTTCAACTACGTGATACATCAAATAAAATGTAGTATGTAAACTAAAAGTCTTGAATAAAAAATCATCCATTAGGAATACAATCTCATGATTACAAACACAACAAAAATAACATACAAAGCCTACTTAACATAACTACATCTAAGTAAACGGAAAGATAATGCTTATGAGGACAACACCTTACATTACTTTATGATAAACTTGCACAAAACGACACTCCATCGACATTTGTTTTTTGCAAGAATGTGCTATACATGAAGATCCGGTGACTAACAACATTAGTACTTGGCTATACCAAGATGAATGTAATAAGAGAACTTTCAACAAATAAGAAAATTTCAACTCAATTCAATATAAATCTTAATATAATTAGTTCAATATTAAACGAGTATAGTACGTGAAGATTACGTACATGTATTATTCAACAACTTTGCTTAAACAATATTTTGAGCAGTTTAGCCAATTTAAAAAAAAATATTATTTATTTATTTTTATTTGTTCAATAACATGATAAAAATACTTATAGAATACGTAAATTTTATATGTATTATTGAAAAATGTGTGAAAATAATATGTATTAAAAATGACTATGTACATATACATATACATGCATACATATACATATATATATATATATTCTACATTTGAGTTTAAAAAAAAAGTATAATTTAACATTATTATACTAGCCTAATGTGAGGCCACTTAGTTCTACGGTCTAGTAGTATTTTTTTTCACTTATAAGTGAGAGGTCTTAGGTTCAATTTTTGCCAAAAGCGAATTTGAACCATATTATTTATATCTCATTGTGAGGCTAAGGCCCTCATCTCCCTTAGTGTAGATAATATCTTTTGTTCAAAAAAAAAAGATTAAATAAAACGTATGATTTAAAAATTATTAAGATGGGTACAGAAGATTAAAGAATTAAAAAAAATATATAAGTATGTATATTAATGCGCGTAATGAACAAATTAACTATTTTTGGTTAAAACAGTATGAATCTATATAGACACATCCTTTTTCTAATGCAAGTAGTACTTTGCCACAATGATAAAAAGGTGTTAAACCATTGCATGACGACGTGGGTTCGAACCCCACCGATAGCTAATCTAACAAAATCTATAACATCCTTTTTCTAATGTAGCATTTGACTTGAACATTGAAAGTCGGAAAATCTCCAATATATAACAGGAAGCACCGATCCATCCCTTTTTCTTTAAGATCATAAAATTAAACAAACTCAACAGTTGGTATTTGATCAAGTAAATTCTTGAAAGATGTTATTTACATCAAAGTTTTCAGAAAGTACCAGAAAATTTGTCATCCTCTAGGTGATAGATTTTTTTCAAGTATTGAGTATTCAAGCGGTACTTCACATGTCATAATATATATAAGAGGAGGATGAAATAATTTCGTGTTGTTCCACTTATTTTATGGTACGTAAAATACCCGCTTGAATAATGGACACTTCAAAAAAAATTTCCTTACAAGCAGTGGCATGCATGCACACCTAATGCCCAATATTATAATGTACATATAGTAGATACATAGATATTTAATTGGTTAAACAAGGTTGCCTCCACTTAATCTTGGGAGACAAAATGTATAGGGAGCTTCAATCTGGTTTATTAAGTAGAGGGAAACAATCCCGTCTTGGAAACTGTATATTTCCCCAACTCTCTTCTCCTTTCTTTCTCATTTTTTTTTCTTTGGGATGAATGAGAAAGAAAAATAATGGAAAAACAAACAAACAAGGAACGGAAATTAACAAGTTTTGGTAATGGGGATTAGGCGGTGTGCAATTCCAACCGTTGGATCATGTTGGAAAGAGGCACATAGGGTTCCCAATTTATGGGTTGTAAAGAATTTTAGCTACTTGGGTGGGGGAGATACAATGGGATGTTTGTCTACATTACCCATAATAAAGATATATTGATCTACTACTTGTTATATTGGGATTTTAAAAACTCAGTTGAATCACATTTATATTTTATATGTTTTTGGGGACACCCTTGAAAATGTTGCATCTTATGTCTCTCAGGGTTAGATCTGGGTCCTCTGGGACATGGTGCATGCCTGCCTAATGACCACTCTAACAAGTTGAATTTTTTGTAAACTAGTGAGGTTGAATATTATTAACTTGACTTGGGGGAAATATGGTTGTATGAACAATATGCATAAGGTAATGAAGGTCAAGCAGCAAAAAAGGTTCACTGCCTTTTCTTGGCATACAAAATAAAAAAGAAGACTTTGAAATTTGAAGTTCATTGCATGTCAACGTCCTCAAAAAGGCACAACACATGCAAAGTAGTAGTCATAACCCACCAAAAGTCCCCAAATTAACGTGTAAAAAGGAATTGAACAAGCTATTGCTATATATTAGAATGAAGTGGTAAATTAATTTGAACCCTTACGAATTAGAAATACTCTAATATACCAATTATAACCGACTCGTTGGAATGATATATTACTTAGTGGAAAAGTCAGACTTATAAAGGATGAAGGGCCTTTCCTGAAGTGTAAAGAGAATTGGGATTGAAGGAGAAGGCGGAACTTAGTAGAAGAGAAGGCCATGTAGCCTCCTGGTCTTTAGGTGACTTTAACAATGGAGACTGACTTTTATGACATAAGTACATCGCCATTGATACTACGGTCATTTTAGTTAGTTTGTTTCTTTTTAACTATGCCAATACTCTTGTAGTAGATCATTTTGTAATTTCCTTTTATTTCCTAGAATAACTTAGGACAAAACTCGTATTCAAAATCCAAATCCATAAAGGATAAAAAAGGATTAAAGATATATACCGATTATCTACTATAAATCAACTTGATGAGATTAAATTAGAAAACCTACTGCTAATTATATATTAACCTTCCTCAAAAGGAATGTATATACCTGTTGACCGAAAAGAATAAGAAAGAAATACCAAAGCGATGCATGTTATCTGAACTTTAACTAGAAGTGTAGGGCCATGCTACAACTGCCATGCATCCTCCTCAATTAAAAACCAACCACTTCATATCTGATACATATATGCTTGACCCATCAATGTCTGAGATACTCAGGTCATGTATCATATGCACGTCTCTACTTCTTTTAAGTTATATATTATTCTACCTCCATAATTCGAAGGGTTTATTGAGCGAAGTTCATCAAAAGATCACAATTAAAGATATCAAAGATCTGGGCAGGAACATCTGAATCATGAATTAAGTCGATCCCATTATCCCAACACACACAGTGTGTTCTGAGCTTTACGATTACCACTGGTAAATATACGTGTTTTACCAAAGGAAAAACTGGGCGGGTAAACTACTTATCCATTCAAAATTTCCTAATGCATGCAACTACTAAAATTAGAATAGCTAGGCATGCAGATCCAAGACATGTCTTGCAGTACTCTTTCCCAGTTCCTGTATATTTAACCCATGTGAAAATTATTTTGGAGTCCTGGCTTAGTCGTAATTAACTACAACAGCATTGATAAGATAGTGTTAAGAAAGAAGACGATGAGGCATTCTCTGATGTAAATATAATAATGGATGATTGAAAAGCCTGATAACACATACGATATCCATTTTTGTTAAACAGTCATATCATATGTCATAACTTATATATAGTACTTTTTGCCGGCAAGAGCATGTAACCCTAGCTATAGCTAGCTAGGAGGAATTCTGTGAGGCCCTACTGGTTTCTTGACTGCAATAACTTCCCACATGTATATTGGTGGAATGGATTGAAAGAGCTAGAGAAGTATATATATTAGTTTTAAAGCACAGCTCGAAAAGAAAGGAAAAAGCAACAAAATTAGGTTTTCATATATATAAATATATATGATATATGTTTTGAAGATCTCAGTTATGAGAGGGAGGGTGTGTCTTTGGGGGTGAGTAGTCCAGATTAAACCCAGGTTGCTTCTGAACTCTACGCTTATTGCGGGGCACACGCCATGAAACTGAAACGAACGACGACTTATCATGCCTTGAAGTTATTGGGTGATCAACAGAAGCACCTGAGGCTGAGGCCGATCCTTTTGTATTTTTTCTTGATTTGGCCTTCAAATCATCATTGGTCTTTGTTTGCTTGGGCTCCTTAGTAGTAATACTATCACTTTGAGTCTGTAGTACTGTGCTTTCTCCTTTTTCCACATGATCAAGTGATGGCTTTGATGAGAAAGACTTCATCATTGGCACAACTGGAATGCTATGATCGGAACCCCTTGCTTTAGTACTCTGCACAATACCATAAAGCTATAGTTAATTAAGTAGTTAGCTGGCTTGGTATAAATTCATCCAATCTTTTGGATGTGGAGTGCTGATTAGTTGCTTACAAGAACCAATCTATAGTATCTGGTACACCGCCAATATAATGAAATAACAACCAAAATCAACTCAGTACGTGTTAATAATATATCCACGCTATCAGGTTTTGTAAATTGATACCAATGTCAAACATTATTTCCCAATCAACTATTTATGTTGTACACAACTCAAATTTGAAAACCGATCTAAGAAAAACTATTTAACAATATATGCGCCATATATTACCTTCTTGATGATGTGAAATTTGTTGTCGGACTTCTTCTGAACCGCACCAAGACGCCCGGCATTGCATGCATGCAAAGAAAGACATAGAAGAAAAAGGAGAAGAATACGATGATGAGCAGTACTGGTTGACATATTAATTGAGAAGCACAGACTATATTCTTTTTCGAATGCTGCAGATATATAGAGATATTGGAGACGAAAGTAGGCTCAGCAATGGGGTGTTTGAAGTACTATGGTAGCTGGTCGTCGATGTGATATATGTAGGGGGGGAGAGATAAATAGAATGAGAGAATTAAATGCAGGTATTTGATATCGGAAGAGATTTAAGAGGTTGGTAGGTCTAGAAAGCACAAGAACATGGAGGTGTATGGGTGGGGACTAAGGAGGAGGAGAAAGGGAAATGAAGATATGGGTGCTCTCCCCTTTTGTCCTTTCCCCCTTCTCTCAAATTTCAACTGTGTTGGGTCCCAAGACACACCCACCAGAAGAAAGAGGTGCAACTCACTCCCTTCTTCAAAATATATGCATGGGGGCCTGGCCTTGGGAGGAGAGAGAGATTTAACTAAAGTCCTTTTAGTTGAAGTAAATAAGTAAACCAGATGTAATATACAATAGAAAAGTGGGACTGCATGCATAAGATGTGAAACAAATAACAGGATCAAGAAAGCTAGTGTCTACCGTCAGCCTAATTTCTTACCCGAGAAATACTAGATAAATTAAATTTGTAGACTAAATTTGCAATCTAAATAATGTGTCATCAATAAAAAAATAAACACTTTAATCAACAATTAAGTAATAATCCAATCATAAACTTTTATGTCATTTAGTTTATAAAATTTAATCCACATATTTAGCCTCCCTAACATTACCCTTTCTTACACCGAGGCAAACTCCAATGTTCCATGTCTTTTGAGTTATACGTAGACTAGTCATACCATTTGCATGTTGTGTGCGTCCTGGTTCCTAGCCCCTGGCTGTGTTTTTACCCTCTTGGATTTGGGACAACTTAATAACCAAGTAATTGAATTTCTTTTAATTAACTACAACTTAACTATAAGCGTTATAAGAGAAATTAATCATCAAATCACGGTAGACATGTACGTACGTACGATTAACATCCTTGCTAATATGTTGTGATGGTATGTCCTTAATTTGTTAACAAGCAATGAAGCAATTTTAGAAGAATGAGAAAGTTTCTTCTTTTGAAATTGATGCATGCATGTTGAAGGGATAAATTCTTATAAGCAAATGAATTATGCAACAGCCTATGTAATCCCATTCTTATAACCTCACTTTCGTCTATTATTTTGGATAATAACTCAAACATTAAAACTTACCATATATATGTGTTGATCTATATATTATCAACCACCTACACATAATACGCGTGTAAAATCGAACATTTGCATGTTCAAGTTGAATTTAGGTTGTGAACCTCGAGCTCGAACTTAGTCAATTTGTTTGGTTTTGAAACTTTTCAGTACAAATGCTTATCCCTGTACTGTTCAAAGGCCGGTTTGAATTTGAACAGTCTTGTGTGTGTATATAAAGGTTTAAACCCATCTCAGTCATGACCCCACTGATTTTAGCAGAGGCGTATGGTTTTAGGAATTACTGTAATGGTGAGGCTTTCTACAATTACGCTCAGTCTGTTCTAAACTTGAGTGCCGGCCAGAGAGGCTAGTTTTTAAAAATTCATGATTAATTAATGGAAGTTTAGGGATTAATTATGGGGCTAGCCTATATAGCCTATACATGTGGACTGAATCCATGCTTTTAAGGAAGCTGTTTGGGTGAGCACTTCATGATGGTGATTAATTAGTTGATTAGCATCCTTACAAAATATTAGCTAAATTGTTGAGACATCTAATTTAGTTTAAAGAAATTGATGAACATTATGTTTTAAGAAACATTAAATTTTTATCATGACAATTAAATAAGCAAATGGTTTCGAATTGAATTGATTTTTGTAAGGATGTTGTATGAATCGAAACTTACAAAAAGACGGCTTAAATTATTAAAGTTTAATGTGGAGTGGTCCCATAACTAATTCCTATATATATTTTTTAAATGGGTTACTTCTCTTAAGGGGCATAACACACACACACACACACACACACACACACACAAAAGAGGGATCCCCATTTTTCAAAAAAAAAGAGGCACTCTCTTGACCGTTAGATTTGGCTTTAATGAAATTGTGTGGTCTATGATTTAATCTCAACCACACAAATTAATTAAAGCCAATCAAACAGTCAAGAGAGTGTCCCCATTTTCGAAGCTTCGTAACTCAATCGTTTCTTAACCAAATTCGACCCATAATATATCAAAATGAAGATTGGAAAGTGTAGAACAAGATTATATCTATTTGAAAGCCTAATGGTTGCCAAAAATGGTTGGAAAATAGCCTGAAAGATGACTGATCCGCAGGAAAACTGGAAAACTTGCCGGAAACCGGGTAAACTTTAAACGTTCATAACTTCTTCAATACTCAACGAAATCGAGTGATTCAAAAATGAAAATCATACTTCTCAACAAGATGAAGAGAATGGTACATTTCTCGACAGCTAATTCACAGTGGTTAGGCTAGAAAATTGCTCAAAAGTGGCTAACTTGAGAATAAGACAACCACTTTCGAGCCGTTTTCTGGCCAAACCACATCGATTTAGCTGTCAAGAAAGGTACCATTCTCTTCGTCTCGTCAAGAAAGGTACCACATGGAGCTTTGTGATGCATCATTTGCGTGCAATGAAATTTACATGTCTACACTCTTACACTATAGCTACATGGTCTGGAGGAGAAAAATTTGAAGTGGATGAAGGCAGAGGTAATATATTTGTGGTGGATTTGAATGGGTGCACTTGCTCATGTAGAAGATGGGATTTGATAGGCTTTTCTTGCAGACATGGTTGCTTGGCCATCTATTATGCAAGGAGACAGCCGGAGGAATTTGTTTCCTCTTGGTACAAGAAGGAGAAGTACTTTGAAGCTTATGAAAAACTTTATTCAACCCGTCTAAGGCATGAAATATGGGTGATGAAAATGAATTCAAGTTAAGCAAGAGTTTCACCTAATCGTTATGAACTTATATTCACAAGTAGTAAAGGTTGCTCATCACAACCGTGTTAAGTAAATTCTTGGCATAAGTTTCATGCAATTCATAGTTACAAGTGTTTCGTCAATGCTTATGATTTTTATAGAACTTAATGATTCTTGCTTGTATCTCTATTATGCAATTCATGTAGGGAACTTGTGGGGAATGCTTTGGGTTGTTGTATGCAATCATCCAATTCAATGAAATTAGGAAAATCTGAGGGTTAATTAGTGCAATTCACATTTAATTTGGGGCGTTGAGAATTTGTAGTTTATTGAAAAGCAACTGGAAATCGTTTTGTTTGCAAGTGTGTCATGTGTGGAGAAGAACCTCCTAGTTAGCCTTCCATCCATTCAATATACTCAAATTCGTGCAGATTTCATTAGTTCTTTAATTTACTTGTTTTGTTTTCAAATTCGTTAAAACCAAAACCCCTTTTACATTGTTGAGTCATATTAGTTAGAAACTGATTTAGTTTGTGTTTTTAAGTATTTCAAACCAAGTTAAAACCAAAATTCGTCCAAAAGTGTGTTTAGAGTCCAAATCTGCCCAGTTTATGTTTTTAGGCAGATTTGAGCGTTTTTAGCTTGTTTTGAGTTCTTTGAGTTTGTTTTGAATTCTTTGAGTCTAGTTTAGTGTTTTTAACTTTGTTTATATGTTTTTAAGTCAGTTTAGAGGTTATTAGCAAGCCCTCCTAATCCCCGGTCCAGAATAATCCCTACTTACATTCGTTACTACAATTGATACAAGAGGGTTTAATTTGTGTGTTAAGTTAATTTTCGCACCAAATTTTTGGCGCCGTTGCTGGGGATTAGCAACTTTGCTAATCCCTTGTTATTTCTTTTTGTATATTTTCGTGTCTTCTATTTTTAGTTACTGACTTTGTTTCTGTTTGTGTTTTTTTTTTTTTTTTTTTGTTTGTTTTACTTTTGATATTTGATTTAGTTTTGTTTCCTTGATTTCAGGTACTAGAGAAGTAAGACATGAATTTTGCTACCATTCAAGCTCAATTGGCGAAACTTACTTCTCAATTGTCACAATATGTCGAAAGGACCACAATGCAAAGTGTCCCTACATATGGTGTGTCCTATGGGCAAGGATATCCAACTCATCAATGTTCTCAATTCGCTGTGAATGAAGATGCTTGGGGTTATCAAGGCCATAGCCAATCATGGGACAACATGTTTTCCAACACTTACAATTCGGATTAGAGAGATTATTCAGATTGCATTTGGGGAGAACCTCAACAATTCCAACAACATGGATATTGGCAGCAAGAAGAGGAGTTCTATTCAAGACTTATGCAGCCACCACAACCTCCTCCACAACAATTCCAATCAAATTCAAGTATGCCTATGAGTTATGATGAAATTCTTGATGTACTAACCTCTTTGACGCAGGGCTCACAATAAGAAGAATATTTGCCGCCATCGGATGAGTTCTATCACTGGCCATATGAACCATCACAGCCACCACAACAATCTGCCCAATTCAATTCAGGTACGTCTTTGGATAATGATATGTTTAATAAGTTACTCACCTCTTTGAACCAGGAAGTAGAAAATTGAAACAAAGAGATGCAAAATCAAGCCAAGAAGACGGGTGAATTGGAGAAGCAAATTGGGCAGATTATGGAGTTCATGGCACAAATTCAAAAACAAAGTGAACCCTCCAACTCAACTATTGAAAATTTGAAGGAAGATTTTGAAATCCATGATGCTATCACTTTGGGAAGTGCTATGGAGGTTGGAGGTGAACCCAAGACATCCAACCCAAGCCAAAACATGGATGAACAACTGCTGCTTGAAGAAGAGGAGAATAACAAGGCCACCGCAAGGGAAGAACCACCCTTGCCACAACCCCATATGCCCTTTATGTCGTCAACTACAACCAAGGTAAGCCTAAATTCAATTTGTCCTGACCCCGTTTCACCAAATATCCTTATTCCTTGCACGATCATGCAATCCAAGGAAGAAGAGGGTGAGAAAGGCATCTTCGAAACCTTTCCAAAGAATCAAGAGCAAGAAGTGGATGAGGAATGTCTAGAATTCATCAAAGAAGATACACTTGAGATGAAAATTCCCAAAAAAGTTGGATTTTATGACACGGGAAAAGTCATAACTCTCAAAACACCAAATCTGGCCAAGTCCCATATCCCTGCAACCTTCAAAGATGTGGTGTTCGTAATTGAGTTTATGTTGGAGCAAGCAAGTAAGCCATCTTCTCCAACTTCGATTTTATTATATACTAACTTGCTGATTTTGATGATTCAGGCACCTACACTAGAATTTAAACCACTGCCGGATCACGTCAAGTATCACCTTCCAT